AATGTATAAGCATTTAAAAACAAATAGAACAAACCTTTTCCTTTAACATGGTTAGAACATAAAAAACCTAGTTAATTTTTTTTTTAAACAGTTTACTTAGAATGCAATTGTAATATGCAATATCAATACCATAGTATAGTTCTACGTAAATATGCATCTTGTAACAATATATTCATAGAAAAAGGATCACATAAGAGTGCTGCCTGTCAAGTTCAGGTGTACTTTTTCTGTCTCGAATATCAAACATCACAAAGTCAACACTGTACAAGATTGTTATCACATTTTATCTCGTCGGCTTGCGTAAAATGTATACAAAACATGAAAGTACATAACAAAAAATATCAACAGCCATTTTTATTCTTTGGGGTTATTATTTACGATCATGTTTGCTTCTGTGTAGTATTAAACTGTAAGGGCTCATTTAACCAAGTGAATGAGATGCTACACTACCAATTCCTAATACCTTTTTTTTTATTTTTACAAATAACATATTAAATATCTACCACTCTTAACAAGACAAACTAGTGTTAATAATAAGTTGCCATGGTAAAGTTTTTTTTTTTTTTTTTTTTTTTTTAAACATATCTCGCCTTCAATGAAGTAGATGAGCGTTTGAATCCAACCAGATCTTTATCAATACAGCAGTACTTATTACATTCAGTTCACATCATTGCATTTCAATAACTCAATAAAATCATGAAGAAATGCTAACATGAAATGAATTCCAAATGATATTTCCAAAAAACACGATATATTCTCTTGACCTAGTGAATATGTACCCCGGACGGAGCAACACAATGACTGCATATAGGCATTCATGGCTTGACATCATACCTTACATCAAGTTAAAATTAACTATGTACAGCTCTTAGAAACGTTTTTTGGAGATATAAATGTCACTATCAAATGTGCTTACAAATCTACATGAGAAGCCAGAGAGAAATCTTCTTTCATTACAGGAATAAACGATTTTAACTGCATCGGTTGTAATTTATGACCAGTGTTTTATTTGGAGAAAAAATAAGGACAAGCTGTCTCATAATGGATAAGGCAGTTGTACATTCTGATCTTGCTATATATTGTTATTACACACATGCCCCTTTAAGTTAATCTAACACATATTACACGTACAAAGTATTTGAAACAAACAAATTTATACGATTTTTTGTTAGTCTGCAGATAAATTAATCCCTTAGCTAATTGACAATTAACATTGTTTTTATGATAGTACTCTACAGTCATGAACTTCACAATGAGTTATATGAGAGAGCCTTGAAATTTAAACTGGAGCTTAGAATGTACATGCAAATGTGGAATTGATGCACTTGAATTCCATTCTACATAACACATTAAGAATTTAAATATGATAGCAGGATAAAAGGTCTTGCAACATTATGTAAGTAAACTGTACATATAAATCGAGCTCGTACGTTAACAAATTAACAAATTCTACACTGGACGATTTGCTCATATCTTAATGCGCAAATCATTATGATGGAGATGATATACACTGTTGGTCATAATGGTGGGATAATTTTGTTTTACTCCAGTTTATGGAATGATTTTGACAATGATTTATTTCTAATAGATCTAAATAGAAGTATACATTCTCAGATTTTATTGAATAATAATTTGCGAGTGTTTGTTTTGCGTGACTGCTAAAGCATGTGTGTGCTACTATGTTAATCAACTAGGGGACCTACGTCTTTAAGTCATAACTGCCAGAAATGAGGGTTAATGCCTCACAAAGGGCAATAATATAGCTGATCGCACGGTTTTTATTCTGGGGCCTCATAGTAACGAGGCCATTGCTTAGCCATTGAATCATGACTGTACGCAGCTGGGACTGGGGTACATCGCCGCCCCCACAAATATAAAAACACAAAGAAAATGCAATAGATTTTCAATAATTCATTGCATTTTCCCCCGGTCCACAACAGGAACAATTCCATTTTAAGGCCATGCATTATGGTTTTAATATATCGGGGATCGGGGCAATATGCAACGAATTATTGATTATTTATTGCATTTTCTTTGTTTTTTTGTATTTGTGGGGGCGGCGACGTACCCTAGCGCCCGCTGTGTACAGTCATAATTCAGTGGCTAAGCAATAGCCTCGTTACTGTGAACCCCAAGGATCCAAACCGTGTCCATGTGCTTCATTCGTGCCCTTTTATGAGGCATTAATCCTCATTACTGTCAGTTATGACTTAATGACGAAGGTCCTCTAGTTGATTAACATAGTAGCACACACATTCTTTAGCAGTCACACAACAAAAACACTCACAAATTATTATTCAATAAAATCTGACAATGTATCCTACTATCTAGACCTATTAGGAATAAATCTTTGTCGAAATTATTCCATAAATTCATTTCTAAATATAGAGTCTAAAAAGTAAAAGCTAAACATAAGATAACTTGAATTGAGGCTCATAATTGTTTTTTTATCAAATGAAAAATGAATGAATTTACAACATGATAAGAAACATGTGCCACGCAATTGAGCTTACATGCAGAAAGTACACGAGCCCACGGACGACTGGATATTTATCCAACACCCGTCTTCTCCGTTGGTGAAAGTCGTTATAAAAAGTATATTAATATTAAGATATAAAAGTAATATAAACTAGATGGGGTGTAAGACCTAATCAAGAGAAAAATATACATTTCATACAATCAGGAGAACAACATCACTGAGTAACATAAAGAGGTCACCTCTAAGCCTAAATGTTGCAAGTAAGTGCAAAAAAGAAGAGGACCCAATCTGCCTTTAAGGAGCCATTTGCTCGTGAGTGTAGAACAACATATACAAACATTTTGATATGAAACTCATGCTATAACTTACTTGGTAATACTGCACTTTTAAAATGTTCAACTTATCTAAACTTTAAGGATCCAAAGATTACCTAAATGTGATGCATATATTTCTATTCTGAAATATATATCAGATATAATCTAAATCAAGACGTTGCCTACATTACATCATATTCTGCCATGAAGAACATTTTCTTTGTGGGGCTTGTGGAGGGGATGGCCTGACGCACGCATTACCTTGAACATAATTCAACGTTAATAAAAGCCATTCTCAAAATACATCGTATGTACTTTTTCAAAAGGTTTAAAACATATACACAAAATTCTACTGCAACACATTTATTGTACTCGTTAATAACGAGTGAATTTTTCTAAGGATTGTATAAAGTACCAATATAAACATTTAAAAACAAAGTAATTAATTACCTGATCTATTTTACAAGTATTCACATGATTCAAATATGTTAGAGCTTTATAGAGAGAAAAGTACACACTGGTATTAAAAAAAGTTGTTGAAGAAACTCAAAATAACATGAATAACATATAAGGGGAAGGTTATTTTAGATCCTCCGTTTACATGTAAAACGATGGTTCTCGGTTATGCAGGAAATTCATAACAAACATATGCGTCTTCGAACATGAAATGACATACAGGTGTGTATATATGAGTCAGTAATTCACACCATTATTACGATAATGTAAATGTATGTATTCTATAAGTCCAAAAATTATCTCGTCGCATTTATAACGACAAAACAATGATAATGACATTAGAAATGCTTTACATAGGGCAAACCAAGCCAAGATCTTACTGTGTTTTAAATGTTTGAAGCTATACGTAAATGAATTAAAAAATAATGGCGAAATAAATTTCTAATAAAACCTGAGACGCCTTAATTAAAAACTGTTTAAATAGTCTTTGCCAAATCGACATGCTGATAAAAATGAATGCCATCGATGCTAAATGTTTTCCCTCAAGTATGAAGAACAAAACCCTATCAAACCAAGCTTACATGAAAAAAAAAAAACAAATTAAAAGGTAGACAAATGTTTCACTATATTTGACATCAAAATATATTTACGAACTTCAGCAAATAATGTAAATATTAAGTATTTAGTGCATCATATATTTTATCCACTAAAGATTAACTTGAGTTCTGGTAAAGAGAGAAAATGAATTCTCACAGAATTAAACGAAACTTACACTGAATGTTCAAGATTACAAATAAATGTCATTTGCCTAACAATTTTGGTAGAAAATGTATACTGGCTGAGTAATGAGCATAGAAAGATAAGGCAATCAAGGTAAGTAGGCACATATACATCCTTCTGTGTACAGTGCTTGTTACTTTACCAAGACTGGGCCAAATTTATTGTGATCATGATGACTCCAGAACCTTGCAGTACACACGATGACTTATAAGCTACATGATCAACTTGTTCGGATCCATGCAACACCTTTTCTTTCACAATGCAATCGCATGACGAGAACTCAACTTTATCTTTAATGACATTGGAATTTGAATAAAAACATACCGGCAGGTCTTGGAATGTATATTATACTAATTTGTGAAACGAAAAAAAAAAAATGATACCCCATGACTTTGCAAAGATTTTGTGTTTAGTACATTGTAACAAATGCAAGGTGTATGACCATGTACGTGAAGTACCACAGAGAAGGTAGCATGAATTGTCTACAAGCCCCTGACTCTAAATGAGATTCTATTTGGGGTGTGGTAGTGGTTTCCGGGCGTTCATTTACATGTCTACTGATGTTGGAAGTAGGTGATGTAGGTACATTATTAACACTCTGTCTTGTTGTTTCTTTTCCAGGTGGCCATTCGGAGTCATCGCACGTTGTTTCATTCACAAGCGAGGTTACATCATGTGAGCAACAAGAGAAATGAGTGGTATGGGGTAGCAAGAAGATACCGCTGGTAACTTGGCCATTATCTGTAATATCATCTTTGACGTCCATCTTCCGATTATTCTGGTAACATGATAGTGTGGTTGTAACGCTACCAGAAGTAGCTCGACAATGTACTTCATACGGGTAATTGCTGTTTTTACTTAAATCTATGAAGCATTTTGCAGGTCCGGAGGGGATTTGTACATTAATCTCCTTCTTTATAGTTTCATACCAATTGTTTTCAAAACTATGCCAGACTACCGTTAATACGTACCCATCCTCGTCGAGAGTATCAACGTTATCTATCCTCAGATTCACGCAAGGAGAAGCGTCTACATCTGTGACTGAGGTTGAAAATCTTTGTAATTGGGATGGGTTTTTAAAGCCCTTGATATCTACTTCACCATTTATGCAGAACGGACGAGTATTAGATTCGAACCGAAGTGTGTAATATGGAACACCCTGGAATGTGTTGATAGGTGACAACGGGATATGGAATGGGACCACACCAGGTTTACCTGCTTGTAGCGTTACCATTTCGGTGATATCTCTGCCTGCGACGGGAACCGGACTTCCAGCAAGAATGATGGCCAAAGCGACAATCATCTGGGCCACGATTAAAGGACACTGGTCAACCGATGTTCGACGTTTGGTCTAAATCAAAAGGGTATGAATGTAAAAGAACGTTGTCGAAGTTGACATTCTCTGACATAAACAACGCTCTACAGTGAAAATATGATATTTTGGCCTTTAAAAAAATGGATGGGATTTAGTAAAATCGAAATTCTAATCGCCCTGAAAGCGATTAACAAATATGATGAAGCTGTACGAATCTAAAGTAATAATAGTAAATATAGACAGAAAAAATGTATTTTCTTGAAATACCAGTTTTATGCTACAAAATGTTCAAACTCTTAGAACAGATGATTGAAATATTTACTTTTTCTCAATATGCAAAGGGTAATATGCGAATATCTGCATCATCGCATCGTTCCACTCATTATTAAACATGCTGATTAGGTTAAGCTTCGACTTGTTCCTTAGAAAATTATTCTTCAAGTTGTATTGATGTTTTAACACAAATCTCATCGTGGTTTTTCTTGCGCAAATGCAGAAGTAGAATCCATTCTATCGTAATGTACTATTTCATAGCTTGAATCTCGGGTATTTATATACGTGATAAAAATATATGTCTTACCCATATTTTCCGCACTGATTTTAAGGAGGTTCCTTTGGAGGAAACAGGTTTTCCGTCGTACAACTTTTGGTAAAAAACGTCAGGTGGGTTTGTTAGGACGCTGCTGAAATAAGTTTAGAAACAAGAGTTAGATGACGTAAGAAGTGATCAAAGTAGTAAAACAGGCTAATCAAATTGGTTCCCTAGTAGGGTTTACTCTGATGAAATTGAATATCTCTTGCCCATTAAAAATACATAAGAAAAAGAAAAAAGAATCTGTAACAACAAATGAATATATCAATGTTTACAAATAGACTTCCATGTACGTCGCAGAAATCCCACTTACGGCCAGGATAAAATACCTGGATTTAAAATATAGACCTCACCAGTACCACGGATACCGCATCAGGCCTCACTTCACTATAATCTAGCTTGTAAGAAAAGAGTCCAACCAGGTCTTACGTCCGAAAGTGTTCTAATCCTTCTAATAGCTGTTGTCCTACAGTTAAAGTACTTACATAATTGTTCTTTTTCGTAAACGGTTATTAGAAACATTATGAAGAAACAAAAAGATTATAAATATCCACTGAACAAACATGACAAAAACAAACAAAACTGTTTTTGTGGATGATGCAACCAATCACAGAGAGAATTTTACATATTAATAAGTCCTGAATAAATCATGTCCTACGAAAACTAAAGTTTTCTTAAATAAAATAAATGGAAAGTGACTTATACCTCTTTAACTCAGTTGAAGTTCCGTTGATTTGTAGATGATTTCCAGCATTCATCGGAGAAGAGGGTTCCTGACAGGAATAATCAATTAAATTATAGAAAATATGAAAACACACTAAGAGAGAAGACAAATTGACTATTAGTTTTGGTGAGCACGGTAGTTAACGGTGCATAAAACAAAGAGTAACACAAAGTCTAACGTAGGTGCATGCAATTTAAACGTTCATGTTTTCACAACAAAAACAGATTCTGATTCAGATTAATTTAGGGCTATGAATAGAACATTTGGTCATTACTTTTTGCTGTGTACGAATGTTTAATTTCATCTTGATGAAGTTAGAGTATTATTAGTGGAAGACCAGCCTGTAGGTCCCGTGACCAATCTCTGGGAACAAAGGTTTAGAAGTGTTTTTGTGTTCCCTGATGAATACCGAACAATTTTGACTTGGGATGCCCCCTTGAAAATCCCAGGCATTTTCGTGAGGGGTCAAGAAAGGTCACATAGGGATAGAAATTAAAATAGTTCCAATCGTGTCAATATGCATATCAAATTACTCATCTAGCCATGAGGATTCCAAATATGTATAGTTTGCTATACCTCCGACCTTAAATGAGGGCGCTATGGTCAAAATCGTTGAAAGGTCAACACACTTTTGACTGGTGGTCAAATTCACCAACATAGACCAGACGAGTAATTTGATATGCATGTTGACAAAATTGGAACTATTTGAATTTCTATTCCTGTGAGACCTTTGTTGACCCCTCACGAAAATGCCTGGGATTTTCAAGGAGGCAGCCCAAGTCAAAATTGTTCGGTATTCATCAGGGAACACAAAAACACTGTCAAATCTTTGTTCCCAGAGATTGGTCACGGGACCTTCAGGCTGATCTCCTACTATATATATATCTAAACGTATTATTGCATACGATTTTGTTAACGTATTTACGTAAAGTTCCAATCGAAAGTATGGTTTGATCAGAGAGAATTCAGATAAAAAATAATCACTCACTCTCATTTCTCTGTTTTCACCAATTAGTGAGTGACATCGAGATTCTGGTTCTTCAGACGGATGACCATCATTCTCTGTAGTTTGATGAATTTGTTGAAAGGGTGGATCAAGTCCGTTGTATTGCCACGTCTGAGGTTTATGCGGGGCAGAACAGTCTGTGCCATTTGTCGTCACAGGACTCTTCATAGATTCCATCTGATCTAGCATTGGATCGTGTTCACCTATGTCAGGATATTTCAGCTTAGCATGTATGAAAGGATTGTGTTCTCCACTGCCACATTTTTCATCATGATGGGTCCTTGTGGGGGGATTCTTCAAGGAGGGTTCATCGGCTCGTCTCTTCGCATTGTCAACCTGAGGTGCTAACTTTCCTGTACGTGACTGCGTGTCTGCATCATTCATTGTCACCGTCACACAGCCTCTTCTGATTAGGTACTGGTGGCCTCCAGATCGTGGATCTGTTGTTTCTTCTTCATCCGGATCACCTGTACATGATGATATGCCTTCTATTGCATGTGGATGACCCTCGTTTACAGCTGTCTGAAGGGGTGTAAAACCATCTATGTCTTTCACGTTCATGTTTGCTCCATTCAATGCAAGGTAATCCACTATGTCTTGGTGTCCTTCTTGTGCAGCGGCTTCTAGTGGTGTCCATCCATCATGATCTTGTTCATTGACATTAGCATTGTGGTGAGTGATTAATTTCACGATGGCTATGTTGCCATTGTAACATGCCGCATGAAGAGGGGACTTGCCGCATTCATTTCTTTCATTCACATCATATCCGCTAGAGACTAGGAAGTTTACCACATCGATATGGTCATACTGTGTTGCGATGTAAAGCGGGGTCAATCCGTAAAACCTGTTGCCCTTAGCTCCTTTCGCCATGAGATATTTGACAACTTCTAAATTGCCATTTTTTACTGCAGCATGTAATGGCGTCCAACCTCTGCGATCGTTCCTGTTGACATCAGATCCTTGTTTAATGAGATATTCCATGACTTCTATATGGCCTCCCGAAGCTGTACCATGGAGAGCAATCATCCCTTTGTCAGCTTCGTCGTTCACATCAGCGCCATTGGAAATGAAGAATTTGATGATGTCTAAATGACCAAAATACGCTGCAGCGTAGACTGGGGTCATTCCATCATATCTGTTCTGCTTTGCTCCCTTCGTCGTGAGATATTTGACGGCTTCTAGATGGCCCTCTTGAACGGCAGCATTGAATGCCGTCCACCCAGTGTCATCTTCCTTGTTAACATCAGATCCTTGTTGAATGAGATATTCCATGACTTTTATGTTCCCTCGAATAGCTGCACCATGGAGAGGAATCATTCCTTTGTCATCTTCTTCGTTCACATCAGCGCCATTGGATATGAGGAATTTTATTATGTCTAAGTAATCAAAAGCTGCAGCTGCATAGAGTGGGGACATTCCATTATATCTGTCCTGCTTCGCTCCTTTAGTCATGAGATATTTGACGGATTCTAGATGGCCATATTGAACGGCAGCATTGAATGGTGTCCACCCAGTGTTATCTTCCTTGTTCACATTGGATCCTTGGTCAATGAGATATTCCATGACTTTCATGTGCCCTCGAGCAGCTGCACAATGGAGAGGAACCCTCCCTTTATCATCTTTTTCGTTCACATCATCTCCTTTTGAAACAAGGAATTTTACGATGTCTAAATGACCCAGTTGTGCTGCAGTACAAAGTGGGGTCATACCAGCATAAGTATTATGCTTTGCTCCTGAAGTCGTAAGATATTTGACGGCTTCTAGATGTCCATATTGAACAGCAGCATTGAATGGTGTCCAACCCTTAGCATCCCCCTTGTTGACATCAGAACCTTGCAGAATGAGATATTCCATGACCTTCACGTGGCCTCGAGCAGCTGCACAGTGGAGAGGATTCATTCCCTTGTCATGTACTTCGTTTACATCTGCACCATTGGATATGAAGAATTTGACGATATCTAAATGACCCAATTGAGCTGCAGCACAAAGTGGAGTCACACCAGCATATGTGTTCTGCCTTGCTCCTAAAGACGTGAGATATTTGACGGCTTCTACATGTCCATATCGAACAGCAGCATTAAATGGTGTCCAACCCTTGGCATTAGCCTTGTTAACATCACATCCTTGCTGAACGAGATATTTTATGACTTTCCTGTGTCCTCGAGATGCTGCACCATAGAGAGGTATCCTCCCTCTGCCATCTTCTTCGTTTACATCAGCTCCTTTGAATACAAAGAATTTGACGATATCTAGATGGCCGAATCCTGCTGCGGCATAGAGTGGAGTCATTCCAGTATACATGTTCTGCTTTGCATCTTTATTCAAGAGACATTTGATGGCTTCTAGATGTCCATATTGAACAGCAGCATTGAATGGAGTCCAACCTTTAGCATCCGCCTTGTTGACATCAGAACCTTGCAGAATGAGATATTCCATGACCTTCACGTGGCCTCGAGCAGCTGCACCATGGAGAGGATTCATTCCCTTGTCATGTACTTCGTTTACATCAGCACCATTGGATATGAAGAATTTGACGATATCTAAATGACCCAATTGAGCTGCGGCATAGAGCGGGGTCATACCATCATAGGTGTTTTGCTTCGCTCCTTCAGTTATGAGGTATTTGACAACTTCTAGATGACCATATTCAATAGCAGCATTGAATGGTGTCCAACCCTTGGCATCACTCTTGTTCACATCAGATCCTTGTTTAATGAGATATTTCAGAATTTCAGTGTTACCGTGAATAGCTGCACCGTGGAGAGGAATCATCCCTTTCTCATTTTCTTCGTTTACATCAGCTCCTTGGGAAATTAAGTATTCCACGATGTGTAATTGACTAAAGTCTGCAGCTGCAAACATTGGAGTCATTCCATCACATCTGTTCTGCTTTGCTCCTTTACTCATGAGATGTTTGACAGCTTCTAGATGGCCAAATTGAACGGCAGCATCGAATGGTGTCCAACCCTTAGTATCCCTCTTGTTTACTTCAGATCCTTGCAGAATTAGATATTCCATGACCTTCATGTGGCCTCGAGCAGCTGCACCATGGAGAGGAATCATCCCCTTGGCATGCGCTTCGTTTACATCAGCTCCATTGGATATGAAGAATTTTACGATATCTAAATGACCTAATTGAGCTGCGCTATAGAGTGGGGTCATACCAGCATATCTATTCTGCTTCGCTCCTTTCGTTATGAGATATTTGACAGCCTCTACATTGCCATATTGAACGGCAGTATTGAGTGGAGTCCAACCTTTGACACTACCTTTGTTCACATCAGACCCATGCTTGATGAGATATTCCATGACTTTCAAGTTGCCTCGAGTAGCTGCACCGTGGAGAGGAATCATCCCTTTCTTATTTTCTTCGTTCACATCAGCTCCTTTTGAAATGAAGTATTCCACGATGTGTAAATGACCAAAGTCTGCAGCTGCAAAGACTGGAGTCATTCCGTAACATCTGTTCTGCTTTGCTCCTTTACTCATGAGATATTTGACGGCTTCTAAGTGGCCATGACGAACTGCAGCATTGAATGGAGTCCAATCCTTTGCATCCCCCTTGTTCACATCAGATCCTTGCTGAATGAGATATTTCATGACTTCTATGTGGCCTCGAGCAGCTGCACCGTGGAGAGGAACCATCCCCTTGTCATTTACTTCGTCTACGTTAGCACCGTTGGATATGAAGAATTTGACGATATCTAGATGACCAAAGCGTGTAGCGGCATAGACTGGAGTCATTCCGTCACATCTGTTCTGCTTTGCTCCTTTACTCATGAGATATTTGACGGCTTCAAGATGACCATACTGAACGGCAGCATTGAATGGAGTCCAGCCCCTAGCATCTGTTTTGTTGACATCAGACCCTTGCTGAATGAGATTTTCCATGACTTTCAAGTGGCCTCGAGATGCTGCACCATGGAGAGGAATCATTCCTTTGTCATCTTCTTCGTTCACATCAGCTCCATTGGAAATGAACAATTTGACGATGTCTAAATGACCAAATTGTGCTGCAGCATAGAGAGGGGTCTTACCAGCATAACTGTTCTGCTTCACTCCTTTCGTTATGAGATATTTGACGGCTTCAAGATGACCATACTGAACGGCAGCATTGAATGGAGTCCAGCCCCTAGCATCTGCTCTGTTGACATCAGACCCTTGCTGAATGAGATATTCCATGACTTTCAAGTGGCCTCGAGATGCTGCACCATGGAGAGGAATCATTCCTTTGTCATCTTCTTCGTTCACATCAGCTCCATTGGAAATGAACAATTTGACGATGTCTAAATGACCAAAATACCAAGCGTTATTAGAATCATTCTCTAAGATTTCTTTGACCTTTGCTTGCTGCAGAGAAGATGAGCATATTTCCAATGCGACGCACTTTTCATCAGCAGATGTGTCGGTATTCAATTCTACAAGAGCGCTGTGTGACAGCTCCTTCTTTTCGTCCTCCATTTTTGCATCAGGTCGAAGTAATGTAGGAGTATTAGAGAGAACACTATACCCTCCATCTGGATGCTCTCTCCGTGCTTCATTGGGTTCAGTATTCAAAACAACGGATGCATGTTGTGATGGCATATTATGCAGTGATGTGTTCAGCGATATAACGGTTCCATTGGCCCTACAATAAAAGACATATTTCTGTCGTTGTACTCTAAATGATATTATGGAATACAGAATTTAAACATGTAAAACCCTGTACGTCATTTGATGCAATAGGATGAAATGCGATTGAAAATAGGCAATCAAATTACATATAATTTTAGACTAACACCATCTTCGGGGGGATGAGGGGGATGGTCCATTTGTTTCATATTTGGGACGTAACATTGCAAGTTCCTTGCTGCGTATTGATACGTTAGTAACTATTTATTTATGTGCCTGATAAGATCACAGTTCATTACTTTTTAAAGGGAATTGAAAGGAAGTAATTGCATTTTGTCGATATCGATTCGTAAGGGAAAATGCTAGATTTGTAAATAAATTATAAAACCAAAATGGTCAGTTAGCGGTGAATTTAGTCTTTTCATTAGTAAAAAGCATAAGAAACAAAGGAAAATTCAAAGCTTTTCACCACAACGATGCCCATGGTTTGTGAGCGTTATGAAATCCAACCTTTAAAGGTGAAATTCAAAGAAAATTACAAATATGTCAACTAAAGTATCACTAGAAACTGGTAAGCTAACAGATAGCCATCGTACAAGTTTTAGGTCAACTACATATCGGGTGATTTATAAAAAAAAAAATACAAATACAACCACCTCCATAGCAGCTGGGATATATGAGAGATTCGCCGGAAAAATAACGATGTTTTAATGAAGTCACTATATGGACCAATACTGCCCAAGCAGACGACATCCCATAAAGAATGAACATAATTGCAAAGCTATTATTTGTCAAATTATAATGAGTTTAGTGTATATAAATGTAATGGCATGTTAAACCATTCAAAAGGGTATATGACCCGATTCTGATAACTAAAATCTTTGCTTGTAAAGACACAGGGTAGGGGTTAATTAACAATCAAAGAAACCAGACTTTCAAATTGAAAACCCCCCGGAATGATATTAAGGACGGCATTTGTTCCCTCTTGAAACGCAAAACATAAGGCGGTGTGTGCAGCTGAATATAAAATGGCGTCTTATTTTGTTTACAAGCGACTGATTCCTTTATTTTTGTCTCGCTGCATTTGTCATCAAAATAAAACCATGCGCGGGGTTTAGAGTGAGGCAATAGATTATACATTTAGCCTGACGGTAGTGAAGTAAGAGAAAGAGCTCAAGAGATGATGAAAATGTGTGAGATATCATGGGACATCGTCTGCTTGTGCAAATCATGTCCATACTGTGATCACACATATCTCAGCAGCGGTCGGAGAGCTCTGCAGGTGCTATGCCGGGGCTGTATTTAAGCGTTTTATAATTTATAATAATCATTACTTCGAATGCTTCCAAGCATTGAATTTTGATAACCTTGTCGAATCAAAGATTTAACTTTTGCAATAATGAAAATAAAGTTAGTTTTTAAAATCAATGAATATCTACTTTAATAAAAAGGGGTTTCGTTAACAAGCATTCAACTGAGCGGATACTCTGTTTAATAGAGAATGAAGTGAGTGAAGGATACCGAGTTTCTTCTAAGAGGAGGGCGGAATTACCCAAATAAAATATAAGGGTATTACGACTGAAACGGGAGATCGACTGTTGTGCTGAAAACTAACTTCTTTCCGGACATGTTGCAATGAGTATTCAAGTACCATGAATGATTACAAATAATGGTTGAAAAAATATGTTTTCATGTCTGTTCTCCATGGAGATAAAAGAAAATGACTAAGCATAAATACATCAATCATGACCGCGTTATGCGTTTTATTTTCTATTTATAAAATAGTAGAAATCCGATTTTTCGGCATCCACCTTCCTCTCTCTCTCTCCCTCTATCTTTCTCGTACTCTTTTATTTTGTTGAGCACTCTACTTCCCTACGTTTCTATCGTTATCATATTTATCATCTCATTAAATTGTCCATATTTTTGGAATGAGCAATGGCAGTATATCAAGTTATAGCACATACAGATAACAATCTTATTAAGCCTCACTTTAATCTCTTTCCATTTCGTTCACTGAGAGGATACACAAGCGATATGCTTTACGCTAGTGTAATTATTCGAAAACAGTTAATAACAACTTATATTACTGAGGCCTACTCTTTACTTGATGATGATTGATTTAAAAAAGAAACTTACGGTTTCTGATCTTGAATTCCTACGTCACAATCAGCGGTTTCAAGAAGACTCTGCTCATTTTCATGTTGTTGCTCAAACTCGCACGCCATCTCAGTGTGCTGAAGAAAAACCAACAGAACCAAAAATTATCATATCTTGGGCCATTTAAAATTGCATCCAAACACGCCCCAAAATGCCAACCCGGAGCCTGACCGTGATGTTCCAGTAAAGTTTCCAAGGCAACTACACTTTACCTGCAGCAAGCCCGGAACATTCCAATCCGAATTGCGATTTTTTTTTTTTTTTTTGGCGTGTTTGGCGAGTATAAACGCTCGCAGCTGAAACATCGTATTGTTTGTCATGTGACTTTATGAGCGGGGCTAGCTGTCGTCCTTGAAGCCTTATATGCACACAGTAAACAACTTGTTTACGCTGAACCGCTATGAAAGAGTCTCAGCTATTAAACAGTACGATCTCGAAATGAAATGATTAAAATGACAAACGGAGGAAGAAGAGTTGTTCTAACTTTTTAGATATTAAACAATACATTGCGCGCAGATGAGTTTTAAAAACCTGTTTTAATACTCGAAAATTGAGCGAAACGAAGCGCAATTTTGTGTGTTTTTTAAATCTAGAAATATTGCAGTATTTCTCATATTTTTCGTCATTATACACCACATCTATAATTTCGTACGCGATAAATCAAAGAATATGAAAGCTGTCCTCCGAGTGTCTTTTCATAATTTCATGTCCCACGGTTATTCCGGGAAATATTGAAGACAATGTTATCAACGAACTCAAGGCGAAACAATCACAGAAGCGTTCAAATATAATATAACTGAATAACAAAGATCATATAAATCTAAGGTATAATACAACATATACAAACAATAATTTATTCATGTCAAAAATGTTTTTTTTTTACATAAGATATGTACATATAATAACGAGACTCAATATTTCCATACCATATTATCATAAATTTAAAGTATTATCCAAACTATCTGTTGAAAAGGTGCAGGAGACCGCAATCATAAGCGATGCTTTAGGATGGCGGCGTCAAAAACAAAACAAAAATCTTAAGGTAATACTTAAGCGTGCATGTACGCGCGAGCGTGCGTATGTGTGTGTGTGTGTGTGTGTGTGTCGAAAAGTGGATGTGTACGTAGCTCTGTGTTCTATAGTGGAGTGGAAACAAATGTAGCCTTTCAATAAAGGAATCCAAGAATACGAAATAGAATACAAAATTTGCAAAGATGAGTTGCATTGGGACCAAAGTTAGAGATATCATGCCTACTGCATGTTGAAATCAGTTATGTAGATAATTCGATTAAGAGTTTTTTAAAGAGATGATTTAAAAGAATAGAGAGATGAACAATGCCTTATTGTATCAGGTAAGGAGTTCCAAACATCTGGTCCATGCGTTAACGTCGATTGTAATGAAATGCCTTGAGAGAATTGTTTTGAGAAATCTCATTGGACCGATTCGCGCCAGTATTGACCCCCTTCACTTTGCGTATCAACCGAATAGGTATGCGAATGATGCCGTTCTTTTTTTGTGCACACGCTACAAGAACATTTTGACACACCGAGACGTTTAATACGCAAGAGCATTGTTTGTAGACTTTTCATTAACCTTCGATACGATACAACCACACTTAAAGGGCCCATGACATCGAAATACAAGTGTATTCCTGTTGGTGTGCAGTCCTGCACACATCTCATATTTTGATATGTAAACTTCTGAATTTGTTTCATAGATTTTTTAATATTTGTTGAAATATTTTTTTCTTCAAACTCCAAAAAACCCCAAAACCTCCAGACCTCATCCCCCTTGTGACATCATCTGTCAGTCATCTATGAGCTAACTTGAGAAAGTGGTATGCAACTTTGCCAAAGTTGACCACCTGTAATACCACAAACAATAGTAACATATAAGTTGCTATGTCAGACATGTCAGACTAAACTAATATTCTAGAATAGCCACGGGTATGTAATTTCCCCAGCTTAGCACACGTTCATAATAGAATTGCATGCTTCCATACATATTTACAATACATCATCATTGCATTTGCCTTCCTGGTTATGCTACAGCATGTCTGACATGGCGACTTGTATGCTGCTATTGTATTACGTATTGTAATAGGTGGATGACTGCACCTTATTTTTCCATCATAAATCATAAATAAATTAAACTGTTCGTGGTCCATAATTTGCCTATATATATTTTATTATCATAATGAAATAATGAGTAAAACTAATAATAACAATACAAATAATAATGATAATATTATTAATATTGATAATGATAATTGTAATGATAATTACAATGTTCTATTGTTCAGGTAATTACTCTGGATATAGGAACAAATATTGTCAATGATGTAAATTCAGAGAAAATATCTATACAGTGTGAGTCAAAAAAAGTTAACACCTAGAAAATTGCTAATTATTTTAAAAATCATCTATGAAAAACAAATTATTATACATCTTATGAAAGAGTGTTTTATCCCAAATTATTAGTATCATTTAATGTGGTATGTGGTCACGCTTGGATGAACCGGAAGCATTGTTTACGAGAATGCAAAATTCGACTTGCGCCAAAGTTGCTTGTGTGATGTTTAAATAAAATAATTGGGACTTGGGTATTAAATCGGTTTTTGCAGATCCAAATAGCATCCCTTACAAAATTAATCAGTTTTCTTTTCTTCCATATTTTTCCCTCCACATGG